TCAACGAGCGCAGAAGACCGACATTGACGCATGTCGAAAGCAGTAAGAAAAAGAAAGAGACAAACTTCTGGAGGCCAGGGCCATCCGAGAAGTTCAACTAATCCGACATGGTTTCCAACACATTAGTAGTGAAAAAGAAGAACGGTAAATGGAGAGTCTGTGTAGGACTTTACCAGCCTCAACAAAGCCTGCCCCAAAGACAGCTTTCCCTCTGTTCAGATTGACCAGTTAGTAATGCAACTTACAGGGCACGAAAGGATAGTTTTTTTGGATGCAACAGAGGAATACCACCAGATTGCCATGTACCCTCCAGACGAGGAGAAGACTGCGTTCATCACCCCTAAAGGCTTGTACTGTTACAAGGTAATGCCTTTTGGGCTGAAAAACGCAGGAGCAACTTACCAAAGGTTAGTAACAAAAATGTTCAAGCACCTGATTGGCAAAACGGTAGAAGTCTACATCGATGACATGGTCGTGAAGACCAAAGAATCTAAGGGACATCTTGCCGACCTAAAAGAGATCTTTGATATACTCAAAACATACCGGCTCCGACTCAACGCATCAAAGTGCGTGTTTGGAGTTGGATCAGGTAAGTTTCTAGGGTGTCTGGTAACGAGAAAGGGCATAGAGGCCAGCCCAGACCAAATCAAGGCCATCCTAGAGCTGCAAAGCCCGACGTCGGCGAAACAGGTCCAGATGCTTACTGGAAGGGCCGCAGCCCTAAACAGATTCATTAGCAGAAGCTCAGATAAATGCAGACCCTTCTTCAACTTGGTGAAAAAAGCCACAGACTTTCTGTGGACAGAAGAATGCGAAACTGCTCTAGCCGACCTAAAGAAGTACTTGACCACAACTCCGGTTCTTTCCAATCCAGAACCAGGGGAAGAACTGTTTTTGTACTTGGCAGTTTCAGAACACGCAGTAAGTGCAGTACTCATCCGAGAAGAAAAAGGGGAGCAAAAAGCGGTTTATTATGTAAATAAAACCTTGGCCAGTGCAGAAACAAGGTATCTGCCGCTAGAAAATTTAATGTTGGCCTTAGTAATGGCTTCAAAGAAGTTGAACCATTATTTTCAGGCACACAAGATTTTGGTCCTAACAGAGCACCCACTGAAGTCCTTGTTACAACAAGGAGACTTAACAGGAAGGATAGCAAGATGGGTAGTGGCCCTGGGCCAATATGACCTGGAGTTCAGGCCGAGAACAGTAATAAAGGGCCAAGTTTTGGTCGACTTCGTGGCAGAATTCACCCCAGAAACCATGGAACATCGGGCTCCGTTGAGCCGAGATGAGCAGCATCCCAGCAAGCAAGGAGAAGCCCAGCCAAAGGCAAAAGAACAAAGGAAGGAAAAACTCAGACCCTACAACATCTACATCGGCGATTCATTCAGACTTTTCGTCGATGGAAGTTCAAACCGTCAAAGAGCAGGGGCAGGAGTACTGCTGATATCTCCTGATGGAGAAATAATAGAACAGTCCATCCAATTGGGGTTCAAGGCCTCAAACAATGAAGCGGAGTACGAAGCATTAATCGCAGGGCTAAAACTGGCAGCAGCAGCAGAAGCAGATGAGGTAATAGTTTTTTGTGATTCACAACTTATTGTTAACCAGTCAACAGGTGAATTCGCAGCAAGGGACGGAAGGATGTCGGCATATGCAAAAGAGGTCATTAGATTAGCAACTCTATTTCAGAACTGCCGACTACTCCAGGTTAGCCGAGATGACAACACCCACGTCGACGCGTTGGCTTACCTGGCAAGTTTAATTCAGACTGGAAAAAACAAGAACAATTATGATCGACTACATGTCGGGCCCGAGCATAGGACCAGAGAGCACAAAGCAGCAAGCAATGTGTGTGGACATGGGGCCAAGCTGGATGGATGCAATTATCGCATTCCTGAAAGAAGGAAAATTGCCAGAAGATCGTAAGGAAGCACACAAAGTCAGATTGAAATCTGCAAGATTCTGTCTGACAGAAGATGGACATCTTTACAGAAGATCCTTCACTGGACCCCTTTTAAGGTGCGTACACCCTTTGCAAATTGAAGATTTTCTATATGAAATTCATGAAGGGATTTGTGGAAGCCACATTGGAGGCAGATATTTAGCTCACAAGGCCATTACCTAGGGGTATTGGTGGCCCTACATGCAAAAGGATGCTGAAGCCTACGTGAAGAAGTGTGAACAATGCCAAAGGTTTGCACCTTTGATACATCAGCCAGCTGCTGACCTGAACCCAGTATCCAGCCCTTGGCCGTTTGCCCAATGGGGCATGGATCTGGTTGGACAACTTCCCCAGGCAACTGGACAGAGAAAATACTTGCTGGTAGCAACAGACTACTTTACAAAATGGATAGAGGCAGAACCTCTTGCAAAAATCCGAGATGTGGACGTCAAGAATTTTATATGGAAAAACATTATCACCAGATTCGGGATTCCAAGAGCAATAGTTGCCGACAACGGAACACAATTTGACAGCAAACTCATCAAGAACTTTTGTGCAAAATTCAAGATCAAGAATTATTTCTCAACACCAAGTTTTCCTCAAAGCAATGGTCAAACTGTGTCATCCAACAAAGTAATCCTGGATGGAATAAAGAAGAGGCTACAAGGATATCTGGTAACAAGAAAGGGCATTGAGGCCAGCCCAGACCAAATCAAGGCCATCCTGGACTTACAGAGCCCGACATCGGCAAAGCAAGTTCAAGTGCTTACTGGAAGGGCCGCAGCCCTAAACAGATTCATCAGCAGAAGCTCAGATAAGTGCAGACCCTTCTTCAACCTGGTGAAAAAAGCCACGGACTTCCTATGGACAGAGGAATGTGAAGCCGCC